TTTCAATTAAAAGACCGGGAAGAAAAAATTCCAGTAAACCTCGTCCTCTGTGCGTTTCTTTTAATTATCTCCTAATTTCTCTTAGTTTCTCTTAAAATCTCTGAAGAATAAACGTAGATACTCTGGTTCTGCTAGAATATCTAATGACTCTACAGTGAAGCAACGTGCGTTTTTAAATGATTTGCGTGTGAAATTGCGTGATATGAACGATCAAAACAAGACTATTAGATATGTCAACGGTACTCCTAAGATTGTTACGATAAACCGACAACAATCAAAAAACTTAGCACAGAACTTGTCTATATATTATCATAATGTCAGAAGTTTACGCACGAAATTGAATAATTTACAGCAAAAGGTCGCTTGCTCTTCACTTCAATCTGACGTCCTTATCCTAACTGAAACCTGGCTTACCGATAGTTTTTCTGACAGTGAGCTAGGCTTAAATAACTACACCATTTACCGATGCAACCGATTTAAACAAACTAGTTGATATTCCAGAGGAGGCGGAGTTCTTATTGCTATTCGAAACACCTTACGCAGTAGTGGCACTATCAATACCGTTTTCAATGTGGAACACTTATTTGTTGAAGTCACATCTGGAGCTCTTCCCCTAATAATCGGTGTGGTTTATTTGCCTCCGTACATTGTTCTGCTATTTCTGATGTTTTAGACAAATATTCGAACTGTAACTATATTATTTGTGGCGATTATAACCTTCCTCGTATCACATGGTCCGGCTCCAACTCATTTCCCGCGAATTCAAATGTTTCCACTAACGAAATTGCATCTGCTGGAATTCTCTCCTCTACTTTTAACTTTTATAATGGATCCCAATGCAACTCTGTGCTAAATTCGTTCGGCAATACTTTATATTTAATCTTTTCAAATATCGCGTCAACACATGTGATGTGCTCTCCTGAGTCGTTTGTAAAATGTGCTAGTTACCATCCCGCTCTCCACATCTCGATTAATCTTCAAAACATAAGAAATCCTCAGCATACCACATACTCCTATTACAACTTTAAACATGGCGACAACAATAGTATTATTGACTACTTAAGTCTTATAGAATGGGACGTTTTGCCCGCAAATACTAACGTCCGACGATTCTACCAAACTTTTGTATGACCCATCGACAACTTTATTCCAAAAATGTATTATAAACATTCGACTTTTCCTAAATGGTTTTCTCATACCTTAATTGGATTGGTTTGTAAAAAGAAACAGGCTCAAAGAGCCTTTAAAAGGAGTTCTCAACTGTCTGACTACTTGACTTTTGTCAACTTGCGAGCCGAATGTAAGAGAATTGCTAAACATTGTTATTCTTCGTACGTAAGCAAAACTGAACTATCGGTTCGAAATAATATTAAATCCTTTTGAAGTTTTGTAAATTCTAAGCGAAAAACGTCTGGCTTACCATGCAACATGTTTTACAAAGAAAATGTGGCAACAGACGATGATAAAATTGTGAATTTATTTGGTACGTTTTTTAGATCAGTTTCAGATCGCGTCGACAACAGACAGTTATGTTATGTAAAGTCTTTTTTCTTTTTTGTGAACATTTATGTAAGAGGGCTTCGGTCCGTTTATAAATAAATAATAATAATAATATACACATAAACGTGTACATATGTACATGTTTGTAATACTGCTCCTATAGAGAATGCGGCTCTCGAGGATTTTTGATGGAAGATATTTAGCTCCTATTACGACAAAGTTTGGCCACCCCTGTTCTAATCCTACGAACCTTCCACGCACGCAAGTAACACGGGTCACGGATGAGCCAGCTTCGTCGGCCGACAGTCGACACGGCATCGAATAGCCCAGGCAAATACAAACGTATGCAGCAGCGAGAAGAAAACGAAATCGTAAGACACGGGGTTGAGGAACATGTCGAAGATCGCGGCAGAAGCTGGTATACGGCGACAGGGAAACGAGGGCTTGGTTATGCTGTCGCGTCAAACAGAGTCAACAAGGCTAAAACGTCTCGCTACGTCATCCAAGTGGTATACACGATTGTTTACGTACTCTTCGGGCATCGGTGAACTTCCGAAAGAAGCCGGGAGCCACGACTTCCTTTGCCGTCCCCAACAATGGCAAACAATCCCGGGCGACTGATAAAGGACAGCCACTTCGCTTGGCAGACGATCTTGGCCGACGGCGCACTTTTCCCTCCCATCTGATCCCCTCCGCCCCTCTGTCCCAACCACCCTCTGACGGTGTGTTACTACGTTCCATTCCTCCCCTGTTCCTGTTGCGGCCAGGAAGCGAGAAAAAGAGGCGCGAGATCTATTGACGTGGACAAACGATCTTGGCTGCGGCTAAGGGGTGAGGGTGGCGACGAAAAACCAACAGGCTGCCAGCCAGTTGCTGCTCGCCTACCGATTCTTACAGACGCTTGAAAAAAAAAAATTGTCTCCAAAGGTAGAGACCCTTTTGACGTCTGTAAATACGTGTATCGTGGATGCAGAAGGTCTGTTTAGCGATATATTCAGAAACGAACTGCAACGGGACAGATAGGATTTTTAATCAGATTTGAAATTGAAGTTGTCTAGAAATAGAGGATAACTCAATTCCATGCTGCAGTATATATTGCGAATCTTCCGTCCAATATCGCGAATAAATTTGACGAAACTAAATGCTAGGAGAAAACAAAGAAAAGCAGAAATGCCGGAGATAAAAGCGTGTGTCTGAAGAGTAGGAATACCAGGACAGGGCCAAGAGCGTGGCTCACAAGGAGAGGTATGTCAATACGGGATCGACCACCGTTTCGCGATTCGGATTTCGTCGTCAACAGGCACGGAATGAAATTCGTCTGCTTTGAAATTCCAAACTCCGCCGGCTCGCAAAAAGGGGAGAGATCCCGTTCGGTCAAAGTGACGCCGCCTCCAGCCTCGATTTCTCCCTTTTCCTATTCGTTCCCCCATCTCCTTTCCCGGCCCCGTCTCGGTGAATTCGTCTAGTCCGGGGCAATCGTAACTGGGAAAGGGGGAAAAAGGGTTTCGTCGACTCTCCTTGCGATCGTTTTCCAGCCAGAACGACCAGTTCGTTCGCCGGTTCTCGGAGGCATAAGCTCCTGAAGACTACCTATCCAGCCTCTTGGGGGATCGTTTCACGAATCGGGACACGGTTCGTTAACTTCTGGCGTTAGCACAGGGGAACGTAAATGGTACCGTGGTCATATATTTCATTTCGGACGGACTCTCTTGAGCCTGGCGTTCGACCATGAAATAAAATTAGTTTCTTTTTTTTCGTGGGTACCTCGGTGTACCGTTTTATCGTATTTAAACGGTGACTTGTGTCACTTTGCTGATAGAAGTCTAGTTTAGGCTGATTGAATAATTGTTAATAGTAGCTGTTTAGTGTACTCGCGGTGATCTTGCGATCTTTCGAGTTTGGCTGAATTTGCACGATTGTGCCGACTAATTACAATTCGAAGGACCACTCCAGTGTATCGGGAGACTAACTAATTTGCTCGTGTTTGGTTTCCGGAAGATTTCAATGTTGCTTGTTTCACGATTGTGCCGACTAATTACAATTCGAAGGACCACTCCAGTGTATCGGGAGACTAACTAATTTGCTCGTGTTTGATTTCCGGAAGATTTCAATGTTGCTTGTTGCTAGCCGAATGGATTCTGACTTCGAGGTCTCAGAAAAAGTTCGAAGACACCTCGGTCAGGATACATTTGGCGGGGGCGAGACACGCGGATTGGTTATTACAATTTCGACTTCGACGAGGGAGGTGGTTGACTATACGCGATTGGCAAACTATTAAACAAAGAACGAACTAAAGGGACGCTCCCAAGTCAACGGTCACTCTCAAGTGTCGTCCGCACCCATGAGTGACGCGCGCGGAAACTCGCGTGTCCCGATGCGATAAACGCAGCAGGTAATGAGTCTGGGCAGCGCTTCGTCGCTAACAAAAACATACCAAAGTGGAGACCAAAAACCCGAGAAGTTAAAATATAACAAACAGATGTGGACGAGAGCCACGAGAAGAAAGGCATCGAACTTCTAAATAAACGTTGAAGTGCTCGATGGCCTCCCAAATTTACAACTGCTGCGAAGGACCGAATAATTTCCAGACCCGTGCCTGGAAAACGCCGTAAATCTAATAGGACGACTAAACAGTAGCAAACAACTAGATTAGAGAATAAATCGAGTTATGAATGACAGGTGGAGAACTTATGTGTGTATATCTCAACATGAGCTACGACAAAGTAGCACGTTTCATGTGTTTCACGAAGAGCACCGTGTGTCAGTTTGCCACTTATAGGGGTTTTCCTACTGTGACGGGTTGAAAAATCAATTTTTTTTTGTTTTGCGTTTTCTTATAGTTTATACAGAAAATATGTCCACGAAGATTTGAGGCTTGATTCTCAAAATTGGCAGAGATATATGCCTTGAAAAGAAACGGTTTTATATAGTCTTAAACTGTAGTTCAAACTTTAAACGCGTTTTTCTCGAAACAGCATTTTCGAAACTGGCTGACATGATTACCAAAAAAACCAGAAGTCTGTTCCACTGGAAATTTGTCAGGTATGTTCAGTAGATGTTGCTTTATCGTCTGAACTAGAATTGTGCAAATATTTTCAAAATTCAATCTTTGCTGCCCATTTTTTGCTAAAATCGAAAGCAGTTTCTTTGAAACCTTGCCATTTCTTTATTTCTCGATATGTTCTTATTATTCTAGTTCAGACGATAGCCACACGTCTGCAGATTAAGACTTTGGTAAGTTTACTTTTATAAGTTTCAGTGATTTGCCGTGTATCGTGTTTAGCAGATAGTTAGAAAACATATAAATCAAGTTAAATCATGATTTCGGTACCGAACACTAGCTATCGCAAGTAATCTAGCGAGTTGGTTTTCTTAAAAGTTCAAGTTAACTTGAAAAAGTCTCCACGGATTAATTCCTCGAGATTCTTTCACTTCGAACATGTTAAACAATTTACAGGACAATGTGATACAGGTTTCGAAAAAAATATCATTGTACTCACTTGTTCCACCCAAACGTTCGTCGTCATTATCTGGTTCTTCAGGTTCTGAAAAAGAAAGCAGAGACAACGGTATGAGGATCGGATTTCCAGAAAGTAGTTCGCGGCCTCGAGAGTTTCTAGTTTCCGGAGGACGGATTTATTGGGTTTTCAAGATACTGAAACGATAGTGGAGGGCAGGGAAAGCGGGAGAGAAACAAGCCTCTTGACCATCGAGAAACTCAACAAATCATCTTACCTCCAGAGTCTAGACTCCTTCGATTTGTCAATGTTAAGAGAACGTGAACTTCGAAAATCTAACAGGAATCTTTTTTAACTGGTACAAGAAAACAAAAGTGGACCCCTACTACCATCGATCCATTCCGCAAAGTGGATCTCAGGTGTCCTCACAGGTCCAACTCGATAATCGAATTTTAAAAGCTTCTCGAAGAACCCCAGTATCTAAGGGTTATAAACGGTAGTATCGATTTACTACGATTTAGAGTGTCGGCCTTTCTTCGATCTTAACCGTGCTTACAACTATCGCTCGCTTGTAAGACGATCGATTCGCGATCATGCTACAGAGTATTAACATAACCCTGAGGGTGTCCAAGTTCGACGAACTCGTAGATCAACGATAGCGTTGTCCTTGATCGGCTGTTCATGCTACAGCGATCCGATTCAGTGCTACCGCCGATATGTTGTACGATAGAAATCGAAGTCGACAAGTGTCACGTTGTTCAGATTTCATTGTACAAGGTGAATTTACCTATTCTTGAATTTTTAACATTATTAGGTTATTAGCTAATTACTATCATGGGTAAAACTGCAGAGAATAAAATACTCGATTAACCCTTTAACCCCCATCTGTCCCTCGTGTCAATTTGACACATTTTTCCGGTAAAAAATTGTATCATTCGGCTATTTGTAGAAAAATTTTCCGTTTATTTTCTATATTTAACTCTTTGCGGTCGGAGCCGGCCGAACGAGTTATATAAACTAAAACTTTACTTAAATTCAAGAAAATTTTTGGTCAAAGTCCAAGAAAACATATGTAATGGTTTTTTCGGTGTGTTTGGGGTGTCTGGTGGTGGTGTGAAAGTGGAGAATTAGTTCTTACATTTGTTATATTGCTTGTCTGAAATTGGTGAACAGACTTGGGCAGCTATTTGCCGACACGCGTCTGCAACGGTGAAAAGACACTCAGCCGCAAAGAGTTAATAAAAGAATTTACAAAATTAATTATTTATCTTTTCATTTAATTGATTTTTTACCATTGTGTCAAATTGACACCGAGGGACCTATTAAGATGCGAAACTGAGGGACGGATGAGGGTTAACTGCGGGTATACATTCATGAGACTGGCTGTTCAAATGAAAAAAAAAGGTCAATAAGTGATACTAATGAAAATATTAGGTGTAGCAATGAATTCACATAATTGATTCAAAGCCACCGAGTTTCTATCGCAAAAGTATTCTCAAGCTGCCAGAAAAATGTGAAAAGGTCATCGGCAATGACAGAAATTATTTCGATGATTGATCTGCTTTCGTTCTTTTTAAACGAAACTTTGATTGTACACAAAGGTCGGACTAATTCGTTTCTACGCGTAATAATAAGTAGGCATATAAACAAACAAATATTTGTTGTATAGAAAAAATATCAATGTAAGTACAGTGAGGAGCAAAAGTGAACATACATACGATATTTTTACAAAAATGAATTTTTATTCAATGTTTGCATATAGAATAAAAAAAAAAAAAAATACATAGCATTAAGTACAATGTTTTAGCTTTCCAAAAAAATTTTACCGGTCGTGATATCATTATTATTTTGATAAATAATTCTCAGAGGTTGCGAGAACATTATCGACTTCGGCACGGATGCTTCCTTTAGCGTAATGTTACATTCCTATCGAAAGATACACCTTGTGCTTGTGCTTTATTTTCAAATAATTACTCATTTCATTCCATTTCAGTTTCAAATGAAATCTACTTTTGCACACACCGATTGTGTTTTATTTTCAAATCGGGCACGGACTTTTGCAATCATCCAATATAACGCGGTAGAAAGATGAAGCTTTATTTCTCTCCGTTTGGAACTTTATTTTTCACAATAATATCCCCCCAGGTGTGAAATATAAATATTTATTAAAGTCACTATAATACAATAAGTAGAAAACTAAAACCGTTCTTATAAAATGAACAGTACAAAGAAATAAGTAACCGTAGCCAGATCCCAGTTTGTAAACAATTCAGCATCATAGGATATCTTAAAGTTGCTCGTTTGCAACAGTCGTGTTTCACAAAAATTTCGTTTCGTCGTCTGTCGACGACAGTCGTGATTAGAGGGTTAAATATTATTGTGGAAAAGTGTTCCTTCCGTAAGTAGTAATAAATTCGAAGCATCAAGATGAAAAGCTGCAAGGATTCGCAAAGATCGACGCTCGAGTTTTTCTTCTCCTGAAAAGAACTAGCGTCGTTAGGGATGCGCGTAGCAAATCCCTTGATCCAGCAATTAGATTCCCGTTTTCGAGAAACGTTCCTTGTTCCTTGGGCCAGCACACGCGAGGGTTTATCACGAAGACGTTGCTTCCGGATCCCTCGCCTCTTGGTTCCCCGGAAAAACTGCAGTATATAGGGAAGAGAAACAGTGGAGGGAGGACGGAGATAAGCCGTCGCGGGACAAAACCTAGGTCTGTGTTCACAAAGAGGCGAGAATTATGGTTCCAACGGGGACAGTGTCACCTGGATTAGAAGAGATTGCTGCCAACGCCGCAATTACACACGGTGATTCAGATGCTTTTGTCCCGAGGACTCATTGTACCGTGGGAATATTATTCGACAGTTTTTTCCCTCCTCGCGCGTTCGTCATAAATCCGTTCAGACAATTATTCCTTCATCGTCTGAATTACCTAATTACACGAGAGCTTTGTTTCGGATAGGTTTTCTAATTGGTTGTTCAGTCTAGAATTTTTACAAACATATTTTACCGATAATTACCACGTTGCATGCACCACCGCTTTTACAACGCGTGCTATCTAGAGAGAATTGCACCGGAAATTTTGTTGTTTTCTAGGTACGGCTTGTAATACGACCGGCATTTGCGTACCAGCAATTGTACGCCGTAAATGAATACGCTATGCAGCCGCATAAATGGTTTATCCTTGCACACGCTACTTAAAACGTGAAGAAAATAACGTGCAAGCGTCGTACTTAAATAAGTGCGTTTAACCGATATCCAGATTTTTAACATCGGATAAACAACGCGTGATAATTTGTTTACAGGCAGTAAGGAGTGTTCGGGTAGAAGCACGAGAAAGGAAAGATCGATCGAGGCTAACTTTATGTAACTTTTTAAATAAACCCCTTTACACGTAAGTAGAACGTGTCTGACCATATACGGACTCGTACTACTGGCGCCTGTGTACCATTTTCCCTATCCAACCCGAAACTCGTATTCCTCGCTCGATTTAAAACGCAAGATAGGGGAAGGAAAAATACAATAGCTACTCCAGGTCGCCTATTGCCACGCATTCACCCCTCAAAAACAGCCGCACAACCCCTGAATACGGCGGTGTAGAGGGTGAGTCACTTCGAAACGCCTAGCTTATCTAAAAAGTCTGCCCCTTTCATTGGGTGACGATCCTAAACAGGCTACTCCGTGAGACACACCGCCATGCTTGTTTACGTGTAACCAGTCTAATGTTATGGAAATTGGATGTCGAAAGAAAACAGAGGGGTTCTGGGCGACGAGCTTCCTCCGGAGACGTACGAAATAGAGGAATACGAGGAATCCACTTTCCGCCTTTTGCACCGTATCTTCTTCTTCTTCTCCTTTCTTTAGCCGCGTGTAATTTCAGTTTCACTTTCCCCTCTTAACCGCGTTTCCTCGCTTTTCAACACTTATCTACCATTTCAACCCACCCTGTCGCCATTTTCTCACACTCGGATGTCGTTTCTTCGCCCCGATATCGCCAACATCTATTTACCGGTTTTACGTGGAACATTCAGATCGGCCTGGGCACCACGCGTGCAGGGAATACCATGGCTGTGTACGTTTAACGACACCTCGGAGAAATTTTGAGGAAAAGTAACGGAAGAGAAAAGGCGAGACCCCATCCCTTCCGGTTCCTTACTGTCTCTCCGCACGGAGAAGGGGAGGAGGAGCCACTGGAGACCGTGGGATATTTTCAAGCGGCGGACGCTTGAATTTCTTCGTGGCCCGAGTACAGGAATTATGCACCGAGATGTGCATAATGCATTCCACGGCGCAGCAAGGCCTGAGGACTTTGGTCACCGAGAGGAAATATTCAGAAGGGGCGTGGCACAGTCTCCTCGCCTGCGTTATTCGTGGATGAAAGATGCAGTCGACGCTGAAGCTACTCTTCCCAACGAAAATACAATTGTTTCTACGAACCGGCAGTCATGTTTTTCACCAGTCTTCGATGTGCTCTCTTAGATTTAAGTGGATTTTGGGAAAACTGTTGTTTGTACGATACACCGAAGATCACGGTTTTCAACAAAACTACTCGAATGTACAGGGTGGACCAAAAGTCAGGTACTATTTTAATGAAAATGGTTTAATTTATCTATCTTTTGCAGCCCGTTAAGATGAATACAGAGGGGCGTCTAGCAATAGTTATTTGGCGAATGAACTTTCTGTTCCTTTCTGACGCCTCTAACTCTCGCTATAAACATTCGCGCGCAATTCCCGTTTCTACAGTACTATAATAATATCAAACTTCTTCGGTAAGTAGACTCTACGCGGTTTCAAGAGAAGCAAATTCGATCAGACGAAGAAAAAATCGAACGAACAACAACTCAAGAGCTCAGAATGTACGTTCCAGAATTTCGACGAAGGAACATCCAACATTTCATTTTCTTCACCCCCTAATCTAAAGCATTTAATCCAAACAGTCTTCTCCAGCGCCTCGAAAATTCGAAACTCAATCACTGACTATAATAAACCTTCACACCTATAATTATTCGTGCATAACTAGTTCAAGAGAAGTGTGCACACGGTAGAGCAACGCTTATCTTTTCTGTTCATCAGCTCTAACGTCTGCACGG